AAAAGGTCCGTAAAAGAATTTGTTTCTGATTATTTAAGATTATTTGAATTTTGTTTTTAAATGTTTCCTAGTTTTCTATTGGCCAAGAAACATTTCGCATCAAGGTGTGAAATTTCACGAGTTCTATTTTGAATTCGCTTTTGCGTGTGTGTTAAGCAAAGTTTGTAAATTTGAGTCTTTTTAATTTCTAACAAAATCAATGAGTCAGTGCTTAGCATTTGAATTTTTAAATCTCGATCTTGTTTTTGTTCACTACAGGTGAAGAAATAAAAAAAATCTATAAAAAGGCCAATTTTGAAGAAAAGATGATATCAAGTTAACAATTTATTGAAATTTTAATTTTCATCATCATCATCATCATCATCATCATCATTTTCTATTATAGAATCAATATCTAAATTATCAATAAAGAAATTATCATTAACATAGGAACCTCCACTTTTTCGGCAAAATTTTCGATACCTAACTTTAAAATAAATTTTTAAAAATGAAAAAACATGCTTGAAGATTTCATTTTAGCTTTAATTGAAAGTTTAATCATTAAATTTATTATTTCCATTAATTAAACAATTCTGGTGTATTTCAGATAGAAGCTATATACATTGGAATGTCAAATTTAATTTTGGAATTTTAAATTTTCTTAAATGCCGCCATTTTCTTAATTTTAAGAAATTTGTAAACAAATGTTGCAGGCCCGGTAGGGTGCAGTGCTGGTTTATTACTAAGTGGCCTTGTGCCAGACACCACACTAAACTACCGAGTCTACAAGCAAAGTAAAAAAAATAAAAATATGCGTGAATGAACAAGAAGAAATGTGGTTAATCCACACGTGCATAAAATAAAATATATTAAGATAGCCGACACAGAATGACAGAACAAAGACTGGATTCCAACAAGAGTAATTTTTATTAAATGCAGGAAAAACAAGTAAATCATCCCGTAGTCGGGATCAATGAAAAAGTTCCGCGCCAAAAGTAGAAAACAAGATGGCTAAAGGCGGGAAGGTTCTTGAAGAAGAAAGGTTCCAGCTAAGTCAATGTACATGATAATATTCATACAAGGAAAAAATACTCACTGCGAGTTTTTAGGTAATGTGAGTGAATGTTATGTACATATTTCTTTTCCTTTTTTTTTGTACTGGTTCAAAACAGATTTATGACCAGACCCAAAGTGGACGACGAATTAATATTTTGTATGTTCTGCATCGTCTCGGAAAAGGACTTTGAACGACGAGTCACAAAGGGCCGAAAAGTTAATTATTTGGTATATGCATCATCTCGGAGAAGGACTTTGAATGACGAGCCAAAAGTGACGAGGAATTAATTATCTGGTATTTGCATTGTAAGATATCCCTCGTCTGCCAACCTTGCATATTGCCATGGCTAAAAATGAGTCTGCTTAGGTCCGAGTCTGGATCACCTACTCACCTTTCTGAAACCACAGTTTGTCGTTGACGTCACAAATTTTTCGCGGCAAGATTTCAAAAATCTAATTTGCATAGCAGGTCGCTTGGTTGGTGACCAAAAACAGTTACTACTGTATTAGACCGAACGAGGGAGAAAGGGGTGTCAAACGCGCGCGCGCGCACGCGCGCGAGTGTGAAAGAAAGGGAGGAAACTCGCGCGCGCGTAAAATGTCGTAGATGGAATAATACATTATTCCACACAGCCCTCCTCCTGGATCAAATGTCGCAGACATTTGACTAATAATAGTAGAATGTTTCAAATTTCTTTGGAAAGGTGACTTTTCGACCGGAGCTGGTATACTTAGGCTTGTCGAGAGAAACAGGTGTCTTGAAATTCTCCTGAACTTGCGGAGTTGATTGGGAAGTAGTATGAGACGACGGTTTCTCTATAAAGGCAGGTTTCAACCGATCTATTGAAACGTTGTCGGTGTGAATACCTTTTTGTATTTGGAAATATTTGTCCGCGCGTTTAAGAACGCGGTATGGGCCTGTGTAGGCCGGCGTAAGAGGCCGCTTAACAGAGTCGTTACGTACAAATACAAACTCGCAGTCCTTGAGCTGGTGCGGTAGATATATATCACTCGGGCAGTGCCGCGGTGGTGTATAGCATAAGTTTGCCATTTTAAGGCGTAAGTCCTGAATAAAAGAGGAAGAAACTGGTGGTGTGGTCACAGCTGGTGAAAAATATTGGCCAGGTAAAGATAACGAAGTACCAAATACAAGCTCTGCAGGGGAGCATTTTAAGTCATCCTTAAGAATATTTCTTAACGATAGAAGGATGAGGGGTAATTCATCGACCCAATTATTATTCTCATGCTTCGTTGATAGCGAAGCCTTAAGGGTGCGATGGAATCGTTCCACCAGCCCATTAGCACAGGGGTGATACGCTGTAGTACGTATATGCTTTGCACCAAGGAGTTCAGTGAATTCCTGAAAAGACACGACTGGAACTGTGCTCCTCTATCTGTAGTAACCACTTTAGGAGTCCCAAAATCGAAATCCAGTCGCATAAAATAGCTTTTGCGACAGTCACAGCAGTGGTATCTTTTGACAGGGATGGCAGTAGGCCATCGGGAAAAACGATCCACTATAGTTAGAAGGTAGGAATACCCATGGCAGGTTGGTAGGGGCCCAACTAAATCCAGGTGTATATTAGTAAAACGAGCATCAGGCTCGCTGAAAGTGCCCACAGGAGATTTTGTGTGTCTATGCACCTTACACTTCTGACATTGTAAACATGTATTGACCCATTCGCGAATGTGAACGTTCAGATTCGGCCAAACGAAACGGTCCGAAATTAATTTAACTGTGGCTCTTTTGCTAGGGTGTGAGAGTCCGTGTAGGTGGTCAAAAACCTGTCTACGAAGAGACGGAGGAACATAAGGTCTTGGGGATTTGGATTTAACATCACAGTATAGGACCTTGTTACTAAAAGGAGCTGGACATTTCTGAAGTTCCAAAGAAGTGTCGGATAACACCTGCTTCAGAGTTATGTCCGCTTTCTGTTCGTCGGCGATCAAGTCTTGACTAAGTGCATCAGTATGCACGCCGAACATCTCAGTACGAGATAGGGTATCGGCAACAGTGTTATCCGAACCCTTAATGTACCTAATATCAGTAGTAAATTGAGATATATAGTCCAGATATATCTGATTTCCCTCGAAGTGTATTTGTCCGAAAGTGGTGGACATAATGGACGTTAAAGGTTTGTGGTCCGTAAAATGATAACGAAGGACCTACCTTCGAGGAGGTGTCTGAAATGCTTAATAGCACGAAAAAACGGGGCTAGCCTTGCCAACAGTTCACGAGAAAAGGTACTGTAGCGTGACTGGGCAGGAGAAAGTTTAGCGGAAAAGAACGCTATGGGTTTACGTTGAGAAGGACTGACTTGTTCAATGACCGCGCCTATTGCTGTTTCGCTAGCGTCAGTGGTCAGGTAGATATCCGATTGAGGGTCGTCCTCTAAGAAACTGAGCTTTGTTTTTTTTATGTTATCTCGATATTTTAGTTTTTTTATCACCTTCCCCACTCCCTTTATTGGGGTTCACATGGTCCCCCTGCATTTTGAGGGTTGAAGGGCCCCCAACATCAGTTAACGTTTTATTTTCATTTTTTTTTTTAGCATCTCCCACCCCCATCTCAAAAATTGCCTAGAGCGGTTTTAGCTGATCGAAAGGCGTCCAAGGCTTCATTCTCAAGTATAATAGTCTTATTCTTCTTCTGTAATAAGTTGGTAAGGGGAGTCAGAATGTTAGAACAGTTTGGAATAAACCTCCTGTAGAAGTTGATCATCCCTATAAAGCGTCTCAACTGTTTAATAGAAACAGGGACGGGAAACTCAGTGATAGCTTTAATCTTTTCAGTTATAGGGGCAATTCCATTTGCATCGACATGATGTCCTAAAAATTCTATATGGTCTGCTCCGAAAACACATTTGTCCAGGTTTAGACGAAATCCGTAATGGGACAAACGTTGAAGAACTTCGTGTAGGTGTTGTTTATGCGAGGCAGCGTCCTCGCTAGCTATCAGAATGTCGTCAATGTAATCGAAAACAAAAGGGAGTCCACGCAGAACCTCGTCCATAAGACGCTGAAAGGTCTGTGCTGCGTTGCAAAGGCCGAAAGGCATTTTCAAAAATTCAAATAAACCGAAAGGTGTAGTAACAGCAGTTTTTGGGACATCAGCAGCAGCTACTGGCACCTGATAATATGCTTTTGCGAGATCTATTTTAGTAAAAATCTTTGCGCCTTGTAAACCAGAAGTGAAATCGTGGAGGTGGGGGATTGGATAACGATCCCGGACGGTGATGGAATTCAATCTTCTATAATCCACACAAATTCTATAGTCTTCCTTTCCTGGTTTAGGTACCAAATGAAGAGGGGAAGCGTAGGGACTGTCGGACGGACGAATAACACCCTCTCGTAGCATGTCGTCGAAAGCTTTCTTTGCGAATTTTAATTTGTTAGGTGCTAGACGACGAGGACGGGAAAAAAACAGGTTGACCAGTGGTCTTAATAAAGTGCTGTGTTTGATGTTTAGTTGAATCAATAGATCCAGCAGGACGCAGGAGGTCCTGGTACTGATTCAATAAGTCTAAGTACTCTTTATTGTGGCAAGTTGCCACGGTGATGCCAGTGGTGGTAAGTTTAGAATAAGTGCCAAGAACACACAGTCTTGTTAAGTTGTCAGTCAGGGAATGGTTGTTCATTCGAACGGCGAGATCATAGTGCACCAGGAAATCGGCACCTAATATCGGCATCTGGACGTCAGCAACAGTAAAATTCCAGGTAAAGTCTCGTCGCATTCCTATGTTTAGGGTAAGGGACTTCGTACCGTAAGTATTAATACTGGAACCATTTGCTGCTCGTAGGCGGAGCTGGAAAGGTTGTTGACGTGCTTTATCACGCACGGGTAAGACACTAATGGCAGCGCCGGTGTCAACCAAAAAACGTAAATTATTACGTGTATCCGTCACATAGAAAAGGCGACTAAGTTTTGGTGAAAATGCCTTGCCAGCGAGATTAGTCGCTTTCACTCGCTGGCGGTTTTGATTTCCCGCGACCGCAGTATAGGAACACGGCTTGGTGCAGTAGTGTGCTGCAGACCCAAATCGTCGGTGGTAGTAACACATAGTAGAAGTGGCATCCTTGTTCCGACTGGACGAGCGAGGTCGACTTCAAGCGCCGGCGGAGGGGAACCGGCTTCGACCATGGCTTTCTATAGCTAACGTTAAATCTCTAACTTGGCGTTGCAAATCCTCCACTGTTTTTTCCAGGACCTGTGGTCCCCAGTCGCTTCAGCACTGTGTACTGGCGTTGTCCGATGATCCAGTTGCGAGAAAATACGGTCAGCGGCGTCCGCTAACTGGTCGATCGGGGTGTTTTCGGACATGGGCGCCAAAATTTGTGTAATGGTGGTGGGGAGACGGTCCAGCCATAAGCTTTTCAATATAGAGTCAGCCATGGTATTTTTGCCGAGTCGGCTTTTCATATAACGAAGGAGTTGGGAGGGAGTCCTGCCATCGCAAGTTAGGTTGCTAAATAGTTCCCGGATTAATGATTCCTCCGTACGGCCCATTCTCCGTAAGATCGCTTCTTTTAACCGGCCGTAGGGCTCTACTTCAGGAACGGCTTCTAGAAAGTCTGCTCCTTCGTCGACAATGGCGGGTGGCAAAACCGCCACCACGTGGCCGAACTTTGTTTTTTGGTCTGTAATCCTTCTGACTGTAAAAATAGCTTCCATTTGCAGGAACCAGTTCTTTATATTCCCTTCATGAAAAGGGGGAAAAGGAGCGACGGCGGCGGTCATGTTCGCCAACTCTTCAGAGTCATTAGACGTCATTCTGGCTATCGAATTTATGCACGTTTATATTTCAGCTTGCTCAGAATTATGTTGGCAAGGTTGCAAAATTATTGCGTGTTCAATTCACGTCTCGGGTCACCAAACTTGTTGCAGGCCCGGTAGGGTGCAGTGCTGGTTTATTACTAAGTGGCCTTGTGCCAGACACCACACTAAACTACCGAGTCTACAAGCAAAGTAAAAAAAAAAAAATATGCGTGAATGAACAACGAAGAAATGTGGTTAATCCACACGTGCATAAAATAAAATATATTAAGATAGCCGACACAGAATGACAGAACAAAGACTGGATTCCAACAAGAGTAATTTTTATTAAATGCAGGAAAAACAAGTAAATCATCCCGTAGTCGGGATCAATGAAAAAGTTCCGCGCCAAAAGTAGAAAACAAGATGGCTAAAGGCGGGAAGGTTCTTGAAGAAGAAAGGTTCCAGCTAAGTCAATGTACATGATAATATTCATACAAGGAAAAAAATACTCACTGCGAGTTTTTAGGTAATGTGAGTGAATGTTATGTACATATTTCTTTTCCTTTTTTTTTACTGTACTGGTTCAAAAAGGGCAGATTTATTTGGACCAGACCCAAAGTGGACGACGAATTAATATTTTGTTGGTGTTCTGCATCGTCTCGGAAAGGACTTTGAACGACGAGTCACAAAGGGCCGAAAAATTAATTATTTGGTATATGCATCATCTCGGAGAAGGACTTTGAATGACGAGCCAAAAGTGACGAGGAATTAATTATCTGGTATTTGCATTGTAAGATATCCCTCGTCTGCCAACCTTGCATATTGCCATGGCTAAAAATGAGTCTGCTTAGGTCCGAGTCTGGATCACCTACTCACCTTTCTGAAACCACAGTTTGTCGTTGACGTCACAAATTTTTCGCGGCAAGATTTCAAAAATCTAATTTGCATAGCAGGTCGCTTGGTTGGTGACCAAAAACAGTTACTACTGTATTAGACCGAACGAGGGAGAAAGGGGTGTCAAACGCGCGCGCGCGCCCGCGAGTGTAAAAGAAAGGGAGGAAACTCGCGCGCGCGTAAAATGTAGATGGAATAATACATTATTCCACACAAACACAAATTTATCGATTTTAAAAATATTTAAAAACTTCGACCTGTTCAAAATTATCTTCGGCCTCTTCATTCTCTTGCCAAAGGATGTTATCTTTCAAAGCCATCCATGGCTGTCGTTAGACAAAACTTCTTGGAACCTCTCTTTATGTCAACCTCAGCGACGAAATCCTTAGATTCCTGAATCGATTTTACAATAAGTTCCATTTTATTAACCGCTTACTTTCGATTTTATTCTTAATGTCGACAAAATGTCTTCGTAATTATTTTCTTTTCTTTTTTTTGACAAAATTTATACATGCGTATTATACATAGGGATAGAAATATTTCTTAATTTCTGGATCATTTGTTGGAGTGCGTATTATTTATGGGTACGTATTATTTTCGAGAAACGTGTGTTAAAGTGTATTTGTTGTTTGTTGGTGCATATCTTTTCTTTTTATCCAAACGACGTATGTTTATTGATGTGGGAGTGGATTGCAGTCATTAGGGGCTATTACACTCTTGCACTTAAAATAACCGTAATATTGTCATAAGAAAAATAAAGCTATGTTAAAATAAGGCGACATCAATTTAAGGGAGGCAACTCGGCATAAAGAGTTACTTCCCTTGTAAGAAACCAGCTCCTTTTTAGGTCGATAATTTTGGTATTAAAAATTTCGAGTTTTATATCAAATTTTAATTTCCTTAATTTTTTTCTTATATATATATATATATATATATATATATATACACGTTTCATTAAATAATATATATATATATGTGTGTGTGTGTGTGTGTGTGTGTGTATGATATATATGTGTGTATGTGTGTGTATATATATATGTGTGTGTGTATATGTGTATGTATATATATATATATATATATATATATATATATATATATATGTGTGTGTGTGTGTGTGTGTGTGTTTATATGTGTGTGCATTTATATATATAGATATATGTGTGTAAAAATATATAGAAAATAGGAAAGAACTCGTTAGGTAAGTAATCCAAAGTTCTTTAGTATTTTGGTTATTATTTTAAAAAAAAATAGTGCTAGATATATTATATATATTTGTGCATATGTGTGTATATATATATGATATATGTGTGCATATGTGTGTGTATATATATATATATATGTGTATATATATATATATATATATATATATATATATATACAATGATATTATTTGGTAATCCGTATGGATTAAAGCCATTACACACCTTTGTGTAATGGTTTCAGTCTGAAGATTTGGAATCGAATTTTTCGATTTTAATGAAATAAATATCACCATGGGATTGTCAGTCTTCGTTTTTATAATTAAATATGTATATATGATAAAAATCGAGATGTATGGCATGTAAGATATATAGATCCGACAGTATGAAGAAAAATATATGGAAAAACAAAAATCCAAATATGCTGTTTTAATGTTGTTTCAATGTCGACGTCAGACGTTTCGGTCTAGTAGACCTTCTTCAGGACATTTTTATTAAAACATAATTAAAATTAGACGATATTCAAGTCAACATGAAAAGACGATAGACATAAGACTAATCAAAACAGAATAAATGAAATCTTTAAGGTCAGCGTTCCGTTTCATTTCAAATATACTCTATTTTAGGAATAAAGTATATCAACATCGCCGACGTGACGCCGACGTGACGCCGACGTGATCGTATTTGCATATTCGGATTTTTGTTTTTCTATATTTTTTTTCAGATGTAAGGTATGCAATATTTATAGGTTAAAGTACTCAATATCAGGATTACATATTGTTGCGTGTTACTGAACAAATAACATGAATGAAGAAAGCATTTAAGCTAGTAAATAGTTTGCGTATGTGCAGTTTGGTGTTGGAGAAAGTCCTAGAAAAAATGAAGTGAAAGGTGCATACGTACGTGTGCGTGTGTATTGGTCATTCATGTCCCAAAAAGGGAACGCGTTCTTCCGCGAGAAATTTACATGTTGATGTATATGCGGATAGATAGATAGATAGATAGATAGATAGATAGATAGATAGATAGATAGATAGATATGAAAAGGACTGAGATAGATAGATAGATAGATAGATAGATAGATAGATAGGGTGTATCATAAATAGTTTTGCAAACTTTAAAGGTAAAATGTCCATTATTAACATATGTCCAAAATGCCATCATTTTACCTCAACAGCAAATCATAATGTATATTGATTGGGCCTTCATCACAATAGGGTGGAGGGGAATAGATGCGATAATCAAACAATAAACTACAGAAGAACTCAAAATTGATCGCTGCATTTAAGTGTTGCATCAATATTTAAGTTTACCTTTGAAACGTTCAACCATATTTTTTTTTTTTATTTGACGTTAATTAATTTTAAGACAATTTGATGTAAGCAGGTCCTTACTTTCCGTACAAACAATTACTTTTGTTTTGTGGGTGACTTTCGCTGGATTTCGTAATTAATTTTGATTATTCCCAAATTTATTTCCAAGTTATAAAAATTGTTATCGTACAAAAAATTCGTTGCAAAAATCACGTAAAAAATCGCCGAAAACAATCGCAGTAATGAAAAGTTGATAAACTAAAATGTCAGATGACACGTTCTATTAAAATTTAAAGAGTTATGTCCCTTTATTTCTTTTTATCAGTAGAAGCCAAGATGGCAGAATCCGAAAACAATCGTAATAATGAAAACTTGTGAATACAAAATTTCAGGATTGCGGGTCTGGATTCAGCCAAGAATGTTTTTAATCTGCTCACGGAGTCGGGCTTATTCTGTTGGGCTATGGCCTCTACGAGTAAAGTTGAAAAGTGTGACACTCTGACACACTTCCATTAGCATATATATATATATATATATATATATATATATATATATATATCATAATAATTTTTACATCATTGCTTAAAAAATTTCCATGTTTCGGAAATAAAAACTGCTCGTGATCAGGTGATGTTAGGTAACTTATGATAAAAATGATTTACCTGGGAATTCAGAAAACAATTCGGTGTCTCATTTGGGGGGTTAAAAAGGAGGGGGTAAACCAAGATTCCATACTTAAGAAGGTAGGCATGTCTTGGTTATATATATATATATATATATATATATATATATATATATATATATATAGTTAGTTAGTTAGTTTATGAAAAACCAGGTAATCCGTCTGGGTAGACCCAAGGAGGATAAAATCCAGAAAGCTCAATGTAAATCCAGAGCAAATAATTTAAATAAAAACAGACCACTTTAAGGTTCCATATAATAAATTATTTCACCACAGCCCTTTTAAAGGACTGCGGATCATCAACTTTACTTCCAAAGGTTGGAACAAAAAAAAAGGTCTTTCAACATTTGGAAGTAAAGTCTGATGATCCGCAGTCCTTTTTAAAGGGCTAAAAATATAATAATTTATTACATGGAACCTTAAAGTGGTCTGTTTTATTTAAATTATATATATATATATATATATATATATATATATATATATATATATATATATATATATATATATATATATATATATATATATATTGTATATATATATATATATATATATATATATATATATATATATATATATATATATATATATATATGTATATATATATATATATATATATATATATATATATATATATATATATATATATATATATATAAATTTTATATATATTATTTATATATTATATATGTGTGGTATAAAATATGGAAAGTGCTCAATATCAGAGATAGAGCTAACATATTTAGAAGATTGATGTCATGTTTTTTTTTTTTCACGTTTTTGAAAATTCAACCCAGGGTCTTAAAACACACACACACACACACACACACACACACACACACACACACACACACACACACACATTTCTAAAGAATTTTAATTTTAATTAATTTTAATCCGACCTTTTCATTACTTTAAACGCTATTATAGCAGAAACTCCGTATTTTAAATAGACGCCACATTTTTATTCATTAAGCAGTATGTATTTCGTCTATCGGCCTGTGCATTTTAGAGATGTGCGTTGGAAAAACTTGGCTTAAGGTTACACAGACAGACATAGTTTGGTATTGTTTTACATGGTGAAAAAATGTACAAAACTTAATAAAAACAATGTTTTATCGTCAAACAAAATCTTTTTATTATTATTAAGAGGAAAGACCAAAGACCAAATTTTTGATGTTGATATTTTATTTTTATTAAGTTTGTGGTCTTTTTCATTACGCTATGCTGTTTTACCGCGAAAAAGTGGAGATACCTATGTTACATATGTATGTAAAAATTATGAAAGATAAAAAAAAAAGTCACGAGGTATTTTATGCCTACGCATTTCGTTACTTGATTTGTAAAAAACAAAAAACAAAAGTCATTTCTAAAATGTTTTATTTGTAAACTCTTTACATATCTTTACTCTAATAAAACTGAGTTCATGTATAAAGATTTTTAACTCCGCCATCACTACTACAACTAAATAATCAAGAGGAAGCATTTAAACCTTTACATGTGTTGCAGACCCGGTAGCGTGCAGTGCTGGTTTATTAAAAAGTGGCCTTGTGCCAGACACTACACAAAACTACCGAATCCACAAACAAAGTAGAAATATATAGCGTGAGTGAACTTAGTGAGGAAAAGGGGTCATTCAACAAGTGCATAAATAATGATACGAGTAGATAGCCGGAATTAAATGACAAAAGGCGTCTGGTTGAAAAACATATATGAAATTTTTATTAAATTGAAACAAGTAGGTTGTCTCGTCGTTCGAGACCATCAGAGAAAGTGTTCCGCGCCAAAACAGAAAGCCAAGATGGACAAGGCGGGAAAAGGTCTCATCAGAATGAAAGTTCTGGAAAAAATGACTTGTTAACGCAAGGTGTATGCGTACACAAATATTTTAAAGAACTCACTGTTGAATGAATTTTTCCATTGTGAGTGTATGTAATATTTTTTTTTTTTCTACTGGTTCAAAGTAGTTAGAATGTTCGAAAGTTGTTCGCATCAAGACAAGTTGTCCTTTTCAGATATATACTGACGACCGTGTCGTGGGTCTCCATTGTTTTCTAGTCGAAAACGGAGAAGGTTCTTTTTGCGGGTTACATCAAGACGAGAATGAGTCTTGGGAAAGTAAAAGGTCGACATGTTGAAATTTTTTCAGTTAGAATAAGATATTCCGGCCCGCATATGGGTTAAGGGCACGGAATAAATGAGTTGCCCGTCTAGCTAGCTTGAAAATCTGGTTGGAACGCTGGGCGTCCGTGACGTCAAGAAAACGCGCGGGAAAAAATCAAATTCCGTTCTAGATATCTATCAGGAGTAGCCATCAAGAGGATGGCTACTGCTATGTCTAATTGAATGAGAGAGGAAGGGGTGCAATCCGCGCGCGCACGTGCACGCACGCGCAAGTGTCGTGGGAAGGGAGGAAAACTCGCCCGCGCGTAAAATATAGGTGGAATTACTGTGTTATTCCATACATGTTTCATTTTGAAATGACATCTCGCTGTCAAAAAGTTCGAAATTCAGAGAAATAAAGTTTTCGTTTTGTGAAAGATTTATCTCCCTTGAAAAAAAGTTACTTCCCTTGAATTATGCGAAATTATTTTCTTATTTGCATGAATAAGTTTGCCATAAGTAGGGGACACATTTTGACGACGAAAATCCAAAGTCACTAATAATGGTCATCATTAACCATTACTCCACGCTAAGGTGTCCATTTTTTCATGTTAATATATCTTAATATTCTATTCACTTCTTCTCTTGAAAGTTATGAGATAAAACTATTTGACCAGGTCGAATTGATTGACAACAATCAAAAATAATTAAAAATAATTTTAGATTACTTATTTTTTATTTATTTTTATTTATTTATTTTAGATTTATTTATTAATTTTAGATTACTTATTTTTTATTTATTTTTATTTATTTATTTTTCATCAAAAGGCGATTTCTGAAAACTATTTCTGCCTTGCAATGACGTAATTGTAAAAATTAAATTTCGAAATGATTTCCCCCTCCTCCTCCACTGAGAACTCATTTCCATCACGGAATCATTATCTCATTTTTTTTTCAATTTGAAGCTTTTAAATGTGAAATTATTAGATATCTTCATATATATATATATATATATTGTCTCCTTGGCCTTAAAACGTCATTATTCTCTATAGTGTGTTTTTTTTTTCCCTTTACACTCCGTTATATATACATATATAATTTTTACTTTTTTTTTGTTTTTTTTTTTTTTCGTTTATTGTGTATAATTGCACAGCTTTTAAGAAAAAAATAGGAAGGAATATATATATATATATGTGTATAAGTTAAAGAAAAAGGAAGAAAAGGAAAAAAGTTTTTTTTTTTCCCTCTCCATTATTTAATCTTTCAATTTTAAATTTTAATTGTGTGTAGAATTTTGTTGAAATTTATTCATGCAATTTTGAAAAATTAAAAATATATATATATATATATACATACACACAGGGTGTCCATAAAATTCATATGCACTTTAAAAATTTATAACTTTATTTGTATTTATTTTTTAGAAATAATTTGTAAAAAGAATTAGAAAGAAATAAATCTATATTTTTTTAAGGTTTTATTGAAATTTTATTTAAGTTATCAACATATCCTCCATCATTAGCAATACAAAGGGTAATACGATTTTACAGTTCGTGGCTTATCCTGGACGGAGCCTCTCTTTTTAAATTTTTTCATCCATTTAGCAATATGTTTTTTACGTTCTTTATTGTATTCAATTTAAACTTTCTTTTTACAACAATAGTAGATTTCAGTTTAGTCAACCAAAGGACATAAAATTTTTTTTTTTGAAGAAATGGATCAAATTGATTCTGGAAAAAAAAAATATTTTTTTTACTTATCTAAAAATTTGTTTTAAAATTTTGTGGTAAAGAATTATTCAATAAAATATTTTAAAATATAAAATGTATATACTTTGTTTATTTTTTACATTTATTACTATCACAAAACAAATAAAGTTATAAATTTTTAAAAGTATACACAATAATTTTTATGGACAACCTTTGTGTGTGTGTGTGTGTGTTTAATTGTGTGTGTGTGTGTGTGTGTGTGTGTGTGTGTGTGTGTATGTGTGTGTTATAAGATG